CATGTGAGAATCTAAATGCCAATTACAGTCACGTTGTAGACAAAAACAAGAAAGTTAAATAAAATGGAAGTGGTGGATATTGAACTCTCACAGCTTGTTTGCATAATTAGTTCATGAAAGGTGGGAAGAGAGAAAGAATATCTTACGGTGATGGTATTTTTGTTATTACTAAAACATATTATGGTGTTCATTATTACTAAAAATATGATAAATGAATATTGGTCTCAAATACATGACCACTTTGATCACTGTTTCCCATTTCTGTAGTTTTTTTTTAAAATTATTTATTATTAACAAATTTTACTATCTGAATTAATTATGGGAAGCTGTATCTTGTTATTACACTATCCTAACCTTCTATCTTTATAGAGTAGTCTTTCTTGTTTTTATAAATTTTATTTAAAAAAAGATTAATTACAAAACATATTTGAATTTTGCCACAGTGTTCCAAAGAGGAGCAGTTCTGTGATGTGATAGGAATATGTGGCGCTGAACCCAGAATCTTTGTCCAACAGATTAAACTTGCCCATAATTGTATTAGCTTCCTTCTAGTAAAATCTATTTTAGTATTATTATTTTTTGAGACAGCCTTGCTCTGTCACCCAGGCTGGAGTGTGGTGGCTCAATCTCAGTTCACTGCAAACTTCGCCTCCTGGGTTCAAGCGATTCTCCTGCTTCACCTCCTGAGTAGCTGTGATTACAGGCATGCACCATCACACCTAGCTAATTTTTGTATTTTTAGTAGAGATAGGGTTTCACCCTGTTGGCCAGGCTGGTCTTGAACTCCTGACTTCAAGTGATCCATCTGCCTTGGCCTCCCAAAGTACTGGGATTACAGGCATGAGCCGCTGAGTCTGACCCCCTCATAAAAATGAAAATGAACTACATCTCTAAAGAAATCAGGCCAGGCAAGGTGGCTAGCACCTGTAATCCTAGCAGTTTGGGAGGCCAAGGCAGGAGGATTGCTTGAGGTCAGGAGTTTGAGACCACCCTGGGCAACATAGCGAGACTTCATCTCTCAAAAAAAAAAAAAAAAAAAAAAAATAGGCCGGGTGAAGTGACTCGTAACTGTAATCTTACCACTTTAGGAGGCTGAGGCGGGAATATCAGTAAAACTCAAGAGTTCAAGACCAGCTCCTGGTCAACATACTAAGACCTTGTCTCTACAAAAAAATAAAAATTAGCTGGGTATGGTGGTATATGCCTGCAGTCCTAGATACTTGGGAGGCTTAAGTGAGAGGGTCTCTTGAGCCCAGGAGATCAGGCTGCAATGAACTGAGATTTTGCCACTGTACTCCTGCTTGGATGACAGAATGAGACTTTATCTCAGAAACAAAAACCAAACCAAAACAAAAAGGCAAAAGTATACAAATAAAATAAAAAGTGAACAGATGCTTTAAGTAGAGTTTAAGCATAAGACTACAAAAGAAAATGATGTCAGATTGTTTCCTCCTATATGAGTGTCCCAGAATGAGCTTAATTCTCTAAGGAACACATGGTTTAGGGTTGATTTCACCTGCAATTTTGTGGTAGAGACAGTTCATGGTGGTCTTTACCACAGAGACTGGAACGTCAAAACTACTGACCTTCTTTTTTTTTTTTTTTTTTAAAGACAGGTCTCGCTGTATCTCCTAGGCTAGAGTACAGTGGTACGATCTCAGCTCATTGCAACCTCCACCTCCTGGGTTCCAGAGATTCTTCTGCCTCAGTCTCCAGAGTAGCTGGGATTACAGGCATGTGCCACCAATCCTGGCTAATTTTTGTATCTTTAGTAGTAGAGATGGGGTTTCACCATGTTGGCCAGGCTGGTCTTGAACTACTGACCTCAAGTAATCCACTGCCTCAGCCTCCCAAATACTGACATTCTTTGTTTTATTTATATTTATATATATATATATATATATATTTTTTTTTTTTTTTAAAGATGGGGCTTTACCCTGATGGCCAGGCTGGTCTTGAACTCCTGACCTCAGGTGATCCACCCACCTCGGTCTCCCAATGTGCTAGGATTACAGGCGTGAGCCACTGAGCCTGGCCTTACTGACATTCTTAATCTTATTTGTAGGCAATTCTGGCTGCTGGTACATAAACAGAAGACTGTTGGTGCATAGTGGGAAAGCCTTTCCTTTTCTCATGAAAGAGACAGATATGGCCAATACCACGTCTTCTGGGTTTTGTTTGTTTTTGTTTTTTCCTCTCTTGAAAGCAGACTTAATGTCTGGAGCTCTGGCAGCTAGTTTTAGTCATGAAGTATACGCAAAGAGCATCTCAGAACATTGGCCTGGACCTTGATGCCAGTATTCCCTATCTACAAACTCCTTATATAAAAAAAAAAAAAACACTTCATTTGTCTAAGTCACTGCTAGTTAAGTTTTCTATAATGTGCAGACAAGAGTTGTGGATAGTATAGTGATATATACACACCAATTATAAAAATACAGATCAAGTAATTAATGAGTTTCTTGCCTATATAATTTTTTTTTTTTTTTTGAGACAGAGTCTTGCTCTGACACCCAGGCTGGAGTGCAGTGGGGTGATCTCGATTCACTGCAACCTCCACCTCCCAGGTTCAAGTGATTCTTCTGCCTCAGCCTCCCAAATAACTGGGATTACAGGCATGTGACACCATGCCCAGCTAATTTTGGACTTTTAGTGTAGACAGGGTTTATCCATGTTGGCCAGGCTGGTCTTTCAACAGGTGATCCACTTGCCTCAGCCTCCCTAAATGTTAGCCTTACAGGTGTGAGCCCTTGTGATCCGCCAGAAATGGGGCTTTTAGGAGGTGATTAGGCCTTAAAGCCATTCCTGCCTCATGAATGGAATTAATGCCCTTATAAATGCAGCTTCAGGCAGCTTCTTACTCTTTAGCGCTTCTGCCTTCTGCCTTGTGAGGACACAGCACTTCCCATCTCTGGATGGAACAACACGGCACCATGTTGGAAGCAGACAGCGGCCCTCACCAGACAGTACACTTGCTGGTGCCTTGACCTTGAACTTCCCTGTCTCCAGAACTGTAAGACAATAACTTTCTATTCTTTATTTTTTATTTATTTTTTTAATTTTGAGATGGGAGTCTTGCTCTGTCACCCAGGCTGGAGTGCAGTGGTGCCATCTTGGCTAACTGCAATCTCCGCCTCCCAGCTCCAAGCAATTCTCCTGCCTCAGCCTCCTGAGTAGCTGGGACTACAGGCATGAACCACAACTGGCTAATTTTTGTATTTTCTTTTTCTTTTTTTAGTACAGATGGGGTTTCACCATATTGGCCAGGCTGGTCTCAAACTCCTGACTTCGTGATTCGCCTGCCTCAGCCTTCCAAAGTGTTGGGATTATGGACATGAGCCACTGCGCACGGCTCTATTCTTTATAAATTACCCAGTCTCAGGTATTTTGTTCTAGCAGCACAAAATGAACTAAAATTCGCAGATTAGGATTATAGGTTAGAGGCAGTAACTGGAGCAATTTTCTCTGTTGGCTTGCTCTTTGCAGATGAACCTGTGTGTAAAAGTCAGTGTGAAAAATGGGAAGGAGACCTGCATAGAGAACTTCCTAGTATATTTTCTGAGCCCACTTGAGGTTAGACACCATAAATTCAGAAAGTGAACATTCAGCAGTTTTGGTATTTAGAAGGCAGCTAGTCTGGCTGATCCAGTGGTTGGGGTTTTGCCAGATGGATGGGACAGAAGCACAAAGTTGCTGATGTCCTGCATGAGCAACTGATGCACCAAATATTAAACGTTATCTGGATTGAGAGGAAAGTGACCACAGCTGGGATGTATGAGAAAGTAGTGTTTGAAGAATGGAAGAGATTAGTAAGGTAAAAATATAGTTGGTGTGGGAATGAGTGAGCTGGCATAGTGGACTGATAAAAGATTGGGTCAGAAAATTAGATTTAAAGAGAAAATTCAACTTTACATTTTTTATACAATTTTTTTTTTTTTTTTAATTTATTTGGCGGCTTGGTGGAGGCAGCTGCTGTCGGATGCACCCAGATTTGGGACGACCGAAGAAAGTTGCACCTTGGCCTCCTCTGAGCAAAAAGCCAAAAGCCAAAACTCTACAAATATTTTAATTAAAAAATCAACTGGCAGGCCTGGTGCGGTGGCTCACACCTGTAATCCCAGCACTTTAGGAGGCTGAGGCCAGTTTCGACTCACCTGGGGTCAGGAGCTCAAAACCAGCCTGGCCAACATGGCAAAAACCTCATCCCTACTAAAATTACAAAAATTAGCAGGGCATAGTGGTGCATGCCTGTAATCTCAGCTACTCTGGAGGCTGAGGCAGGAGGATTGCTTGAACCTGGGAGGTGGAGATTGCAGTGAGTCGAGGTTATGCCATTGCATTCCAGCCTGGGCAACAGAGTGAGACTCTATCTCAAAAAAAAAAAAAAAAAAAAAAAAGATCATCTGATTAATTCAGCCACACAAAAAGAAGTAGATCATTCCCAATCTTAGCACATAGACATTACTTGTAAATGTGCTGCTGGATTTTTTCCAATTATTTATATCTTTAATAAAGCTTCTTATTATAGAAATCTTAAGTATATTTTAAAGTGGAGGGAATAACACAGCACACAACTATGTAGCCATCATCTATTTGCAAAAAGTATCAATTTTTAAAAATCTTTTTTTGATGTATAATTCTTTTTTTTTTTTTTTTGAGACGGAGTTTTGCTCTTGTTACCCAGGCTGGAGTGCAATGGCGCGATCTCGGCTCACCACAACCTCCGCCTCCTGGGTTCAGGCAATTCTCCTGCCTCAGCCTCTTGAGTAGCTGGGATTACAGGCACGTGCCACCATGCCCAGCTGATTTTTTGTATTTTTAATAGAGACGGGGTTTCACAATGTTGACCAGGATGGTCTCGATCTCTTGACCTTGTGATCCACCCGCCTCGGCCTCCCAAAGTGCTGGGATTACAGGCTTGAGCCACCGCGCCCGGCCTTGATGTATAATTCTTAATATGGTTTGAGTGTGTCCCCACCCAAATATAAACTTGTATTAATTCCCACAATTCTCATGTGTCATGGGAGGGACCCGGTAGAATGTAATTGAATTTTGGGGGCGGGTCTTTCCCATGCTGTTCTTGTGATAGTAAGTCTCACCAGATTGGATGGTTTTAAAAAACAGGATTTTCCCTGCATAAGCTCTCTTCTCATCTGCTGCTATATGAGATGTGCCTTTTACCTTCTGCCATGAGTGTGAGGCCTCTTCAGCCATGTGGAACTGTAACTCCAATAAGCCTTTCTCATTTGTAAATTACCCAGTCTCAGGTATGTCTTTATCACCAGCATGAAAATGAACCAATACACTCCTCTACTTTCTTTATTTGCTTATTTTATATTAAATTGCAGCATTTCACCTATAAATACTTCTGTATGTACTCCAGTGGATAAGGACATTAAAAAAAATCATCACACCTGACCAAAAAAAAAAGTGTTAATTCCTTAATATCCTCTGATACCCAGCCTGTATTCCAAAGTTTTTGTTTGTTTTTGAGATGAAGTTTCACTCTTCTTGCCTAGGCTGGAGTGCAATAGCATGATCTCAGCTCGCTGCAACCTCTGCCTTCTGGATTCAAACAATTCTTCTGCCTCAGCCTCCCAAGTAGCTGGAACTACAGGCATGCACCACTATACCCAGCTAATTTTGTATTTTTATTAGAGACAGAGTTTCTCTATGTTAATCAGCCGGTTACAAACCCCTGACCTCAGGTGATTCATCCACCCCAGCCTTCCAAAGTATTGGGATTACAGGCACGAGCCACTGCACCCAGCCTGTGTTCCGATGTTTGACTCACAATTCAAGCAGGTTTGTACACTGCATTTGGTTGATTTATCTCACAAATTTCTTTTAATAAAAAAACCCAGATCTTTCATCCCTTTGATAACAATTCCATTTAGTTATTGAATTTTCTACACTCTGAATTTAGATGGTATCATTTGTCATGCTCCTTTTGCCCTGAAATTTCTGGTAAAACTGGAAGTTAGATCTAAAGGTTTGATTGGGTTGAGGTTTAATTTTTTTTTGCTAGAATATTTTATATATTTAATCTTGATTGTCATATCTTTCTAGCTGTAGGACGTATATGTACATATAAAAATGCTTATTTGTATATACTGGAGTGATATATTATATCCTGCATTTTAACCTAACAATACAACATAGAGCTCTGTTCATATCACTAATACAGGTATGTATCCTTGTTTTAAAAATGGCTGGTTGGGCGCAGTGGCTCATGCCTGTAATCCCAGCACTTTGGGAGGCCAAGGTGGGTGGATCACCTGAGGTCAGGAGTTCAAGACCAGCCTGGCCATCATGGTGAAATCCCATCTTAAAAAAAAAAAAAAAAAAAAAATGGCTGGTCAAGTATTTAGTTTTAGAATGAACAATAGTTCTATTGATTTCCTATTGATGGACAATTAGGCTTTAAAAATGATCTAAAATTATAATTAGCACTATGATAAATTTTGCCCAGGCTGAAGCACGGTGGTACAGTCATGGTTTACTGAAGCCTTGACCTCCATGGCTCAAGTGATCCTCCCATCTCAGCCTCCCAATTAGCTGGAACTACAGGTGTGTGCTGCCATGCCCAGCTAGTGTTTTTATTTTTTGTAGAGTCGGGGGCTGGCTATGTTGACCAGGCTGATCTTAAACTTCTGGTTCAAGTGACTTTCATGCCCAAAGAGAGTGGAGAATTTATTAGAATATTTTAATAACAAAAAATCTGTATATACTCATTAACAGGTGAGTGAGGTAGAGACCAAATTTTGCTGTTCCAAGTGGGAAGACATTGTCTCCAAGCCATATGTTGAGTAATTTTTCTTTTCTCTACTTATGTATGCTGTTGACACCTTTTTTTTTTTTGAGATGTAGTCTTGCTCTGTTGCCCAGGCTGGAATGCGGTGGTGCAATCTTGGCTCACTGCAGCCTCTCTGCCTCCTGGGTTCAAGTAATTCTCATGTTTTAGCCTACCGAGTAGCTGGGATTACAGGTGCCTGCCACCACACTGAACTAATTTTTGTATTTTTAGTAGAAAGGGAATTTCACCATGTTGGCCAGGCTGGTCTCAAACCCCTGTCCTCAAGTGATCTGGCCACCTTGGTCTCTTAAAATGCTGGGATTACAGATGTGAGCCACCGCACCCAGCCTTGTGGCTGAACACTTCCCAAATTTAGTAAAAGACATAACCTACAGATTAAAGAAGCTGAGCAAATCCTCAGTAAAAGAAATCCAAACCAAGACATATCATATTAAACCTATGAAAACTAAAGACAAAGGTGCAGTGGCTATTACAGCATCAGAGAGACATGTAAATACGTAACTACATTGTGGCAACACACTGTTTCAGTCCCCCACTCTTTCTCTCCTAGGACTTCAATGATAATAATCTAAGAACTTTTGTTACTGTCCCAAAAGTTCTCTAGGATCTGTTCTTTTTTCTTTACTCCTAGACTTAAAAAAAAAGTCTGTGTTGTTGAGGTCAAATAAATTTTATTGGTCTGGATTCAAGTTTTTGATTCGATTCTCTATCATTTCCACTCAACTATTGAGCCCATTCATTGAGTTTTGATTTTGGTCGTTATATTTTTCAGTTTTATAATGTTAATGATCTAAACTTAGATTTCTTTGCTGCAATTTTCTATTTTTTCATTTCTTCCAAGAAAATCTGTAATTACTTGCAAGAGCATTTTTTTTTTTTTTTTTTTTTTTTTGAGACAGAGTTTCACTCATGTTACCCAGCAGGCTGGAGTGTGCAATGGCGCGATCTCGGCTCACCGCAACCTCTGCCTCCTGGGTTCAGGCAATTCTCCTGCCTCAGCCTCCTGAGTAGCTGGGATTACAGGCACGCGCCACCATGCCCAGCTAATTTTTTGTATTTTTAGTAGAGACGGGGTTTCACCATGTTGACCAGGATGGTCTCGATCTCTTGACCTCGTGATCCACCCGCCTCGGCCTCCCAAAGTGCTGGGATTACAGACTTGAGCCACCGTGCCCGGCCTTTTGCAAGAGCATTTTTTAAATGATGGTTTAAAACCCTTTTCAGATAGTTCCTATGTCTGATTCATCTCATTACTGGTTGTTGATAGTCTTTTCTGATTTCAATTTGTGATGTTCCTGGTTCTTGATAAAATAAATGATTCTCTGTTGTATCCTAGACATTTCTGATTTTATGCTAGGAGACTGAATCCTATTTAAATCCTCTGTTTTAGCAGGTAATTACCTGTATAGGTTTAATGTGTGAGTCTTAGCTTATGTTTTTGGGCTGTGGGCCCCAGAACAATTTAGTTTTCAGAGCTTTCATAGTGCTATTCTGGTCTGCTTCATTCCCCTGGGGCTTCTGGGGCACCTGCTTAGGCAGAATATACTTCTCAGGTCCTGGTGTTGCTAGGTGGGCATGAGAGACGTCAGTACTACAGGGAGGATAGCACAATTATAAGCTTGCCCAGTGCTGCCAGGGCTCTCCTCAATCTTTGCTGGTGCCATCTGTGGTGGTGAAAACACCTGGTGGGGCTACTGGGGCTGCTAGGTGGGAATGGGAGATGCTGGGGACCAAAGGAACAAGAATGTTTCTTAGTTCTTCCAAGTGTCAGTGGGCTTCCCATCTGATCTCTGTTGGGAGCCTCTGTGGTGTGGGAGGAAAGGAGGTTGGGAAATATTAGGCCTGGGCTGGCTTCTGCTGCTGTGTGGAGGGCAATGCCCGTATATTTAGGGGTGACCTGTCATAATGTCTGTAACCAACTTTCGAGCAAACAAACTCCATAGGCCAATATCTTTCATGAATATAAATCTTTAATATATTAGTACATTGGATTCAGCAGGAAGCTAATTAAAAATGTGGAGTTTATATAAGGAATGCAGGATTGATTCAGTATTTGAAAGTCAAACAACATAATCCATGGTATTGACAGACTAAAGAGAAATTACATGAGACTAAGCATAGTAAAGGCATGAGCCTTTAATCCCAGCACTTTGGGAGGCCAAGGTGGGTGGATTGCTTGAGCCCAGGAGTTCGAGACCAGGTTAGGCAACATAGCAAAACCCCATCTGCACAAAAAATACAAAAATCAGCCAAACATGGTGATGAATGCCAGTGGTTCCAGCTATTCAGGAGGATGAAGTGGGAGGATCACCTGAGCTGGGGAGGTCGAGGCTGCAGTGAGCTGTGTTTATGCCATGGCACTCTAGCCTGGGCAACAGAGTGAGTGAGACCCTGTCTCAAAAAAGAAAAAGAAGGTTGGGTGCGGTGGCTCACACCTGTAATCCTAGCACTTTGGGAGGCCAAGGCAGGTGGATCACCTGAGGTCAAGAGTTCAAGACCAGCCTGGTCAACATAGTGAAACCTCATCTCTACAAAAATCCAAAAATCAGCAGGGCATGGTGGTGGGTGCCTGTAATTTCAGCTACTCAGGAGGCTGAAGTGGGAGAATCACTTGAACCTGAGAAGCAGAGGTCGTAGTGAGCTGAGATCACACCATTGACCAAAGCCGTGGTTAAAAAAAAAAGCCTTTAACTAAAAAAAAAAAAAAAAAAAAAAAGAAAAGAAAAACTATATGACCATTACAATAGACACAGAAAGAGCATTTGATAAAATTGAATATCCGTTCCCAGCAAACTAAGAATAGTGGAGAATTTCCCCAACTTTATAAAGGACATCTGTGAAACACCTCAGAAAATATCAGACTTAAAAAATGAAAGAGTAAGTATTTTCCTGTTAAGATCAGGGAAAATGTAGCTGGGCATGGTAGCCTGCACCTGTAATCCCAGATACTTGGGAGGCTGAGGCAGGAGAATTGCTTGAACCCGGGAGGTGGAGGTTGCAGTGAGCTGAGAACACACCATTGCACCCTAGTCTGGGTGACAGAGTGAGATTCTGTCTCAAAAAAAAAAAAAAATCAGGGAAAATGATGTTAGCTCTCATCACTTCTATTCAACATTGTACTGAAGATCTTAGCCAGTGCAATCACCTGATAGAAGCATATATTTGCAAAAGAAAGAAAACTGTCATTATTTGTATGTGACATAATTGTCTATGTAGAAAAACTTAGAGTCTATTAAAAAAGCTATGAGAGGCTTGGCACAGTGGCTCACACCTGTTATCCCAGCACTTTAAGAGGCCAAGGCGGGCAGATTGCTTGAGATCTGGAGTTTGAGAACAGCCTGGCCAACATGGCAAAACTCTGTCTCTGCTAAAAATACAAAAATTAGCCAGGCATCAAGGTACATGCCTGTAATCTCAGCTACTCAGAAGGCCAAGGCATGAGAATTGCTTGAACCCAGGAAGAGGAGGTTGCAGTGAGCCAAGATTGTGCCACTGCACTCTAAGCCTGGATGACAGAGTGAGATTCCATCTCAAAAAAAAAAAAAAAAGATGTCAATTTCTCCCAAATTTATCCATGGAGACAAATCTTTATCGAAATCTCAGCAGACGTTTTTGATAAAACCTCACAAATTGATTCTAAAATGTATATGAAAGCATAACTACCTCATGAGTTCTCCTTTTCTGCTGCCCAGATAAAGCCAATTTATAGAGACAGGGGGATTGCAATAGAGAAAGAGTTTAATACATTCAGAGCTGGTTAAAAGGGAGACCAGAGTTTTATTATTAAAATTAGCCTTTCTGGAAATTTGGAGACTGGGGATTAAAAAAATAATAATTTAGTGGGCAGGTGGCCAGGGAATGGGGAATGCTGATTGGTTGGATTTGAGATGAAATCATACGGGGTGGAAGTGGGTTCTTCTTGTTCTCTTCTGTTCCTGGGTGGGATGGCAGAACTGGTTACACCAGATTACTGGTCTGGATGGCATCAGCTGGTCCATCATAAGACAGGGTCTAAAAATATTTCAGGCCGGGTGTAGTGGCTCATTCCTGTAATCCCAGCTCTTTGGGAGGCTGAGGCAGGAGGATCACTTAAGGTCAGTAGTTCAAGGTTGCAGTGAGCCATGATTGTACCATTGTACTTCAGCCTGGGTGACAATGTAAGACCCTATCTCCAAAAAAAAAAAAAAAAAAAAAAAAAATATCTTGAACACCAATCTGATCTTTTATAATAGTGATGTTATCCATAGGAGCAATTGAAAAGGTTAGGTATCTTGTGACCTCTGCATGCATGACTTGTAAACCATAATTTCTGATCATGTGGCTAATTTGTCGTTCAAAGGTGGTCTGGTCCCCAGGCAAGAAAGGAGTTTGTTTTGTGAAAGAGCTGTTATCATCTACATTGCAAGGTTAAACGCTAAACAAATTTCTCATGTGGTTAGCTTGGCTTATGCCCAGAAATGAACAAGAACAGCTTGGAGGTTAATGGCAAGATGGCAATCAGATCTCTTTCACTGTAATAATTTAGATGATTTCAAAAAAGCAAATGGACTAGAATAGCCAAAAAGATTTTGCAAAGAAAGACAGTTGGTAGACTCATACTACTTGATTTTAAGACTTACTGTAAATGTCCTGTAATCAAGACAATGTGGTATCAGCAAAAGAGATCAATGGAACAGAATGAAGAATCCATTAAGTAAGGCAATTTAATGGAGTCTTTTCAACAAATAATAATAGTCTTTTCAACAAATAGTGTTACAACAATATGCAAAAGCAAGAACTCAACCCATAATTTCTTTCTTTTTTTGTTTTGAGACGAATCTCACTTTGTTGTACAGGTTGGAGTACAGTGGTGCCATCTCAGCTCACTACAACCTCTGTCTTGGGCTTCAAGTGATTCTCCTGCCTCAGCCTCCCACGTAGCTGGGATTACAGGCACATGCCACTACACCTGGCTAATTTTTGTATTTTTAGTAGAGATGGAATTTTACCATGTTGGCCAGGCTGGTCTTGAACTCCTGACCTCAAGTGATCCACCAGCCTCAGCCTCCAAAAGTGCTGCGGTTATAGGTGTGAACCACCATACCCAGCCTCAACCCATAATTTCTAAGAAAAAAACAGGAGAAAAACCTTATGACCTTGGGTTAGGCAAAGATTTCTTAGAACCCAAAAGCACAACCTTAAAAGAAAAAAATAATAAATTGAACTCCTCTAAAAACAAACTCCTTTTAGCTCTTTGAAAGTCGTTGTTAAAAAAGATGAAAAAATAAGTCACTGGCTGGCATAAGCCACATTTCTGATAAAATTTATATGTAGACTGTATAAACAATGCTCAATGTTTATTATTAGTCTTGTCTTGAACTCCTGACCTCAAGTGATCCACCAGCTAATAAACTAATAACAAAACTAATAATAAATGAATAATAAAATAATCCAACTACAAAGTGAGCAGCCTGGAGCTGTGGCTCACACCTATAATGCCAGCACTTTGAGAGGCTGAGGCAGGAGAATGGCTTAAGTCTAGGAGTTCAAGACCAGCCAAAGCAACATAGTGAGACTCCATCTCTACAAAACCAGAAAAATTAGCTGAGCATGGTGGCACATGCCTTAGCCTCAGCTACTTGGGATGCTGAGCCAGGAGAGTTGATTGAGCCTGGGAGGTGGAAGCTGGAGTGAGTTGTGATCATGCCACTGCACTCCAGCTGGGAGACAGAGCGAGACTCTGTCTCAAAAAACAGCAACAAAAAAGTGAGTGAAAGATTTAAATACTTCACCAAAGAAGAAATACAAATGGCAAAAAAGTACATCAAAATACTCAGCATCAGGCTGGGACATTGGCTTATACCTGTAAACCCTTGGCCTCTTTGGGAGGCCAAGGCAGGCAGATCACTTGAGATCAGGAATTTGAGACCAGCTTGGCCAACATGGCAAAACCCAGCCTCTACTAAAAATACAAAAATTAGCTGGGCATGGTGGTATGCACCTCTAATTCCAGCTAGTTGGGAGGCTGAGGCACAAGAATTACTCAAATCCAGGAGGCAGAAGCTACAGTGAGCTGAGATCACACCACTGCACCCCAGCTTGGGTTACAGAACAAGATTCGAATTCTGTCTCAAAAAAATAAAATAAAATAAAACCAAAAAAAACTTGACATTATTAGTCATTAGGGAGATACAAATTAAAACTGCGATGAGATATCCTTATATACCTATTAGAGTGAATAAAAGTCCCAAACTCTGGGCTGGGCGCGGTGGCTCAAGCCTGTAATCCCAGCACTTTGGGAGGCAGAGGCGGGTGGATCACGAGGTCAAGAGATTGAGACCATCCTGGTCAACATGGTGAAACCCCGTCTCTACTAAAACTACAAAAAATTAGCTGGGCATGGTGGCACATGCTTGTAATCCCAGCTACTCAGGAGGCTGAGGCAGGAGAATTGCCTGAACCCAGGAGGCGGAAGTTGCGGTGAGCCGAGATCGCGCCATTGCACTCCAGCCTGGGTAACAAGAGCGAAACTCCGTCTCAAAAAAAAAAAAAAGTCCCAAACTCTGATAATACAAAGTACTGCCAAAGACGGGATGCAACTGTGATTCCTTTACATTGCTACTAATGTCGACTGAAAGATTAAATAGTAGGCCCTATAGCTTCAAGTGTTTATTATTATTATTTTTATTATTTATTTCTTTTCTTTTTTTTTATGAGGAATGTGTCATCGCCAATATTTATTTATTTTGAGAGCATCTTGCTCTGTTGCCCAGGCTGGAGAGCAGTGTCGTGATCTCAGTTCACTTTAGCCTCTGCCTCCAGGGTTCAAGCAATTCTTGTGCCTCAGCCTCCTGAGTAGCTAGGACTACAGGCATATACCAGCACACCTGGCTAATTTTCGTATTTTTAGTAAGGGGTTTAGATGGGGTATTTTAGATGGGGTTTTGCCACGTTGGCCAGGCTGGTTTCAAACTCCTGGGCTTGAATGATCTACCTGCCTCAGCTTCCCAAAGTGCTGAGATTACAGACGTGAGCCACCACGCCTGGCCACTTCAAGAAAATTTAAAGTAATTTTATCCTGAGCCAAATTTGAGGACCAATAGCCCAGGAAACACAGACTCAGCACAAACTGAGAATGTGGCCTAGAGTGAGCTGCACAGGGACAGTCTTTATATGTACATAGAAATGGGAGAAAGGGTCAGTGAAACAAAGATGATATTCTCAAGCTGGACGCAGTGGCTCATGCCTGTAACCCCAACACTCTAGGAGGCTGAGGCGGGTGGATCACGTGAGGTCAGGAGTTCAAGAACAGACTGGCCAACATGATGAAACCCCATCTCTATTAAAAATACAAAAATTAGCTGGCCACATGGTGGTAGGAGCCTGTAATTCCAGCTACTCAGGAGCCTCAGGCAGGAGAATTGCTTGAACCTGGGAGGTGGAGGTTGCCGTGAGCTGAGATTGCACCATTGCACTCCAGCCTGGGCAACATGAGTGAAACTCATCTTAAAAAAAAAAAAAAAAAAAAAGATGACATTCTTACAATCCTGATGAGTGCTCAGAGCTACTTTGTATGCGATAAAGCAAATATGTGGCTAATATATATAGGGTAAAAGGTGAACAGGTATGTATGTGTCCTAGGGTCTGGAGAGGCATGATGGATGTTATCCTGCCTTTGTGCTTCATCTCATAGCCAAGGTTGTAATCAGTACACATCACTGAAATATTTGACAGAATCCAACCTTGTGTGCCACAATTCAGTACTAAGTTCATAGGTCGATCTTTAAAACTTTTCTCTTCGGGTTTTCCTTTTCCTGAAAGTGGGAAAACAAAATGATACAAGCACTTTGCAGAATTTGGCAGTTGCTTATAAAGTTGAACATACTCTTACTAAATGTATCCAGTAACCTCTTTCCTAAGTATTAACCTGAGAAAATTGAAATTATGTCTATATAGAAGGCTTTATGTGAATATATAAACTGCTTTATTCATTTTCACAAAAACTGGAAATAACTCAAATGTCTATCGACTGGCCAAGAGATAAACACATTTTGGTGAACCTTCGCAATGGAAATGACCCAGTGGTGAAAAGAGTGTTCCGCTAATCCTGGCAATGATTTGTATGGATCTCAAAAGGCTAGGTACTGCACGATTCTGTATTAACGTCATTCAGGAAAAGGCAAACCTACCGAGATACGTAACAGCTGCCAAGCGTGGAGGGAGGAAAGTTAATTCCAAACGGGATGAACTAACTTTTTGACGAGAGGGATAATATATCTCTGTTGCAGTGGTGTTTGTGGTTGTGGGGGCCATGGCTTTTGATTCCCTAAAGATTCACTGAAAAATCACTGGCGTGAGGCAGTGATTTCTCCTTCACAGGAGAAAAGGCATATGGATGTATTTAATGTTAAAATTGTTTGTTGTTGTTGTTATTGTTGTTATTTTTGAGATGGAGTCTCGCTCCATCACCCAGACTGGAATTCAGTGGTGTGATCTCGGCTCACTGCAACCTCTGCCTCCCAGGTTCAAGTTAGCCGAGATTACACCACTGCACTCCAGTCTGGGCGACAGAGAGAGGCTCTGTCTCAAAATAATAATAATAAGAAGAATAGAATTGGTACAGGTATTGATCGACTTACGACCTATGCAACTTACGACCATTCGACTTTACGACCACAGTCGCTAGCCACGACTGCTCCGCATCTGGCAGCGCAAACGTTGCCCAGCTGGGCGTACGACAGTGCGGACCAGCTTCCGGCAGCACTACCATCTCTGCGTGCATATAGCCTACTCAACTTACGACCAAATCGTGTTACGACCGGTCTGTCGGAACCAATCGTGGTCGTAAGTCGAGCACTAGCTGTAAACAGAACAGTATCTGTGCAGCTGCTGGCACTTACGGCCTATGAAGAAAACATCGGGTATTAACAGATTCAGCTGTAGGGGATTCATGAAAAGACTGCTAAGGGAGTCAACTCTTCGTCTACCTCATTCTGTGATCTATTTGATTTTAGGTAGTTTGGTTTATGGGAACACTGTAAGGCGTGCATACTCCAAAGTCTTGGTATTATTCTCCTGATAGTCATAATAATAGTTTCCCTGGTGTGCTGTATTCTCTCAAAGGCTTTAAGTGTTTGCATGCAGCCAGCTCTAGAATGTCAAATGGTCTCTCTTCAACTGGAATGACAAGAGCCGAAAGAAATGTGTGACTGTGAGGACACCTTAACCTATGGATGGCATGCTGAGATCAGAAACCCAGAATGGTGGTAACTGAGAGTGGCGCTTAGGCCCTAAGTTTTGGACACATTTTCACCTAAGTGAGAACCTGATCAAAACTTTTAAACAAAATTATGGGAGGACATTGTTTTGGACTGAGCTCACGTACTAGGCCCCAACAGACCAAACCAAACCAAAATGGAGTCGGTTGTGCTAAATGTGACATAGCCAAACTAAGACTTTAAGGAAACGCATAGATCCTATGTGTTAAATGTAATTCAGCTCAAGTTTTTCTGATCCTAGAACACACCAGGTTTTGCTTTCTCCTGTAAACAGGACATTTCGGCAGAAGGAGTTACCTCTATTCTAGTCCTTGTTCTTACCTTTGCAAAACTCATGTTCTACTGTTTCCCAGTGGGTTTCAAGATCAAAGAAGTGCATTTAGGATGGTGACTAAAGTTTTGGTCAATTTCCCAAAACTGAGAAATGCCCAAAAGGGGGGATTTGTTAAAGTGAATTAAACATGGCCTGAGAAGGACTCCATACTTCTATATTTGAGTCCTTGTGGATGAACTGCAACCTAACTTTTTTTTTTTTTTTTTGAGACAGAGTTTCATTCTGTCACCAGGTGCCAGTCTAGAGTACAGTGGCATGATCTCGGCTCACTGCAACCTCTGCCTCCCATGTTCAAGCAATTCTCCTGCCTCAGCCTCCCGAGTAACTGGGACTATAGGCACACACCACCATGCCCAGCTAATTTTTGTATTTTTAGTAGAGACAGGGTTTCACCATGCTGACCAGGATGGTCTCGATCTCTTGACCTCGTGATCCGCCCACCTCGGCCTCCCAAAGCGCTGGGATTACAGGCTTGAGCCACCACGCCCGGCCATTGCAACCTAACTTAATAGGTAGACAGGGCTGAAAACCTCACCTAGGAATATGTGCCTGTAACAATCCCTGAGTCTTGGCTAATCCCAGCAGCCATACTTCAACCACTCATACACTGCTGAGTGTTCAAATTGTGTTCAAATAAGGCAAATGCCAACCTGTATCCAATCTAGCTGTTTCTGTGCCTCACTTACAATTTCTGTCCATCACTTTAGCCTGGATTCTGATAAAAGAGTTTGTAGGAAGGGCGAAAAAAAGGCTTGGCTAGCAAAGGTGGCTTTGTTATATAGATGAAGCCTCCCTCAGAGAGAACGGAAGATAAATGTTTCTTTTCAGACTTTTTAAAGGTGTCAGACTCTCAATCTCTGCTGTATCTGGGAAAGAGATAGAGAGGGAGAGGTCATGGCTTCATTAGCGGAGATGTTTTTATAGATCCAAAATTTCCCCACTTAAGACAATTTAGCAAGGCCACTCTGGTTGCTAGCCAAGCAACAGCCTTTTCAAAATATGTCAGAGAAATATACTTTGGGGTAAAATATTTTAATTTTATTTACCGTCAAATAAAAAACAACTCCTGAATTCAGGTCAGGAAATACAAAAGTTCCCCACCCCCCCACCCTTATCTGCATACATCCCAGGACCCCTAGTGGATGCCTGAAACTGCAGATACACACCGTCCTATGTATAATGTTTCTGTCTGGTAACCCGGACAACTACCAAGTGATTTCTGGGTGGGCAGTGTGTACAACATGGGTCCACTGGATGAACGGCTGATTCACTTCCCAGGTGGAATGGTGCGAGATTTCATCACGCTGCTTAGAACAGTGTACAATTTAAAACTCATGAATTGTTTATTTATGGAATTTTCCATTTATTAAGATACTACTTTCAGATCGAGGTTGACCCCGGGTAACTGGAACCTCAGAAAGCAAAACAGTGTATAAGCCCGGGCGGGGCAACAGTACTTTGAAAGAATAATTGGTAGAGGAGGAAAACAGACTATTTCCAACCGGAAGAATGCTCTTGCCCTGTGATCTCCAGGTGTCCCAAAGGTTGGGCAGAAAGAGCTTTTCTATTAAAGGGAAAAGTACACGAAGCTAGAAAGGTGTGGGGAAATGGGATGAAAGGATGGAGGTGGTCTGATGGAAAGAAAATGTTTTAGACTGAGGTCATCTTATTCTTGGGCGGGTTCTCTAAGGAAGGGTTGTATACCTCAGCTCAGGCTGAGGGTGGATCAAAGTTCAGGAGCCTGGAAAGTAGGAGAGGATCTCGAAGTCTGTTTAAAAGCACTTGCTTTGGCCAGGTGTAATGGTCACACTTTGGGAGGCTGAGGCAGAAGGCTGCTTGAGCCAGGAGTTCAAGACCAGCCTGGGCAAAAAGATGAGAACCTATCTCTACAAACCGAAAAAGAAAAACAAAACAAAAAAATCTACAATTTTTAAAAGTTAGCTAGGTGTGGTGATGCATGCCTATATTCAGCTACTTGAGAAGCTGAGGTGGAATGATGGCCTAAGCCCAGGAGCTCAAGGCTGCAGTGAGCTGTGACGGTGCCACTGCACTCCAGCCTGGGTAGTACTTAGGAACCAGCAAACTTCTTATGCAAAAAGGAAGCTTAAGCAGAGGCTGAGTCCTTGAATACCCTCTTCCAAAGGAATAGCTGTTACTACCATTACCCATCAGCCAGATCCCCAGGGAAAGGTAAATGGATCTTCCAAGGGCTGCCCCCACAGAGCATTCATAAGTAAATTCTTTGCGGACTTCCCATAAACAAGGACATGCCAGTTGTAAATCAGGTCAACAATCTAAGTTTAGCTCCTAAAACTGATTGTGTCTATTAACAAGCAAGAATCATTTCCTCCACCTACACCAGGAACATCTGAATAATTGACTTCTCCTTTATTCCCTCTTCCTGTTGAAAAATTCACCTCATCTTATATAAAATGTAGATTTCCTGGGCACTAACTAACGTCTCACGGGAATGTGGCTGCTTGTCTTACTATCTACCCTATATGACTCTCCACCCCTTAAAGAAATATATAAATACGAAAACTCCTGGAAACCTCTCCAGAAAACAGCCATGAGTGTGTCTGTGGCTTATGTTTTTCCCTGGTCACACCTTAAAACTGGCTTGATAAACCTCCCTGATTGAGACTTACCCCTCAATCTTTAATTTCAGTTGTCCAGCTAATCCTTTAGGAGGCAACACGTGGGAATTTGGAGGGTGTGTGCCTGGCTTTGTTTTATTATGGGAAAGCAAGGGAGATATCTGAGTCTCTTGGGGAAGGGTCCTTCTTTGCAATAAGTTGGTTCCTGAAACACAAAAGGTTGGGAGGTTTCTTCATCATCACTGTTATCTGAGATCACAGGGCTCAGGCAAAACTCAACATTGTTATGACACAACTTTTTTGCTTGTCAAAATTCAGATCTGTACACCTTAAAAGAATGGATTTTACTCTGCTATAATGAGAAAGAAAAGAAACTTTTTATCTGAGAAATGTGAGCCCCATTTAATGATCAGGCCCAGAAAGGCTTTGACATGCAACAGCAGTCTCCTCTCACTCCCCCGTTAGGCTAAGTAATTACCTCTTGAAGCCCCTTGGTATGTGGGTTCCAGACTGACAGATGCCAAGTAGCTGTAAAATGCCACATGCTGGACACCATAACTCATACCCTGTAGCTCAACAATGTATAGCCAATCACAAACCAAAGTTATTTCTGTAAACCAGTAAGAATTCCTGTGAGACAACTTTGAACCAGCCCATTCCTGGTGCCCATTGTCTTTAAAATCCTGCTGTAACAAAGGCTGAACAGTGGACTTTTCAAGGAAACTTGGAAGTGTGTCCTGGGCTGCAGCCCACTGGTCCAAATAAACTTCCTTTATTAATTTTGCCTCAGATTCTTATTGAGGTTAATAATAATTGTACCTCAATAAATCTAATTCCTTAAAAAAAATTTTTTTTTTTTTGGTAGATAGGGTCTTGTTCTGTTGCCCAGGCTGGAGTACAGTGGCCCCATAACAGTGTTACTGGAAAGGGGTCCCGATCCAGAACCCAAGAGACGGTTCTTGGATCACATGCAAGAAAGAATTTGAGGCAAATCCATAGGGCAAAAATTAAAACAGAAACGAAATAAAACAACTCCATAGAGCAAGGTGAGAACAAGTTTATTAAGAAAGTAAAGGAATAAAGAATGTTTACTCCATAGGCAGAGCGGCAGCGTGGGCTGCTGTTTGGCTGTACAGTGGCAGGATCTTGGCTCACTGCAATCTCCTTCTCCTGGGTCCCATTGATTCTCCTGTCTCAGCCTCCTGAGTAGCTGGGATTACAGACCTGAGCCACCATACCTGACCTGGTTGGCTATTTTTATGGTTGTTGTTTGAGCATATGCTAAACAAGGAGTGGATTTTTCATGATTTTTCCAGGAAAGGGGTGGGGATTTCCCAGAACTGAGGGTTCCTCCCCTTTTTAGACTATATAGGGTAACTTCTGGACATTGCCATGGCATTTATAAACTGTCATGGCTCTGATGTGAGTGTCTTTTAGCATACTAATGCATTGTGATTAGCAGATAATGAGCAGTGAGGACTACCAGAGGTCACTTTCATTGCCACCTTGGTTTTGGTGGGTCTTGGCTGGCTTCTTTACCCCATTGTGTTTTATCAGCAGGGTCTTTATGACCTGCATCTCTTCCTGCTGACCTCCTATCTCATCCTGTGACTAAGAATGCCTGACCTCATTTTACCCAGCCACTACTCAAGATGGAGTCATTCTGGTTCGAATGCCTCTAACCGTAGCTCACTGAAGCCTTGAATTTCTAAGCTCAAGTGATCCTCCCACCTCAGCCTCCCAAGTAGTTAGAACTACTAGTGCCTGCCACCATACCAGGTTAATTAAAACTTTTTTTTGTAAAGACAAGTGTCTTGCTATGTTGCCCAGGCTGGTCTTGAACTCCTGGGCTCAAGTGACTCTCCAACCTTGGCTTCTCCAAGTGCTGGGATTACAGGCATAAGCCATCACACCAGGCCTTTTAAAATTAAATTAAATTAAAACATTTTCTTAAGGCAGGTTAGTTTAATTTTATAGAAGAAATACTTTCAAACAATACAAATGACACAATTAGAACAGTTACAAATCAAACAGATGAATACTGATTATAATTTTTTCTCACAATAGAGACTGCTTACTTCTGTGATTATTGACCTAAGCCCAACAATTCAGATATTAAATAAAGTGAAAGCCAAATTCCCTTTTACATGTAGTACTGTCTTAAAAGAACCCTGGTGGCAGAAGTCTGATCATTTGGAGACAGAACTGCACCTAAAACTTAGTAATGTTTTCTTTAACACAAGGCCCAGTAGATGAACAAATTTAAACATCAGATGAAAACACCTGGCCAGGCAGGGTGGCTTATGCCTGTAATCCCAGCACTTTGGGAGGCCAAGATGGGCAGATTCCCTGAGATCAGGTGTTTGAGACCAGCCTGGCCAGCATGGTGAAACCCTGTCTCTACTAAAAATACAAAAATTAGCCAGATGTGGTGGCACGTGCCTGTAATCCCAGCTACTTGGGAAGCTGGGGCAGGAGAATCACTTGAATTCAGGAGGCAGAGTTTGCAGTGAACCGAGATGGTGCCATTGCACTCCAGCCTAAGCAACAAAGCAAGACTCCACCTCAAAAACAAAAACAAAAACACACGAAAAACAAAAATTAGCTAGGCTTGGTGGTGAGCACCTATAGTCTCAGCTCTGAGCAAGGCTGAAGTAGGAGGGTGGCTTGAGCCTCGGAGATCGAGTTTGCAGTGATCCGTGATCGCACCACTGCCCTCACCCTGGGCAAAGGAGTGACACCCTGTCTTAAAAAAAAAAAAAAAAAAAAAAAGCCCACCCAGGACTAGGTACAGTGGCTCACACCTATGATCCCAGCACTTCAGGAGGCTGAGACTGGAGGACTGCTCAAGGCCAAGATTTCCAGACCAGTCTGGGTGACATAGAAAACCCCATCTCTCCAAAAATTAGCTGGGCGTGATGGTATGTGCCTATAGTCCCAGCTACTCAGGAGGCTGAGGTGGGAGGAGTGCTTGAGCCAAGGAGGTCAAGGCTGTAATGAGCTAGGATCCTGCCACTGTACTCCAGCCTGAGTGACAGAACCCTGTCTCTTAAAAAAAAAAAGAAAAGAAAGAAAAGAAAAAAGACAGAAGACAAAACAAAACAAATTCCTTGAGAGTGAGTGTTGGGGTAGGAGTGAAAAGGAAGCACTTCAGATGAAAATCTTTTTGAACTGAGCAGTGAAATTTATTTGAAAACACTTGTCTGGAGGCTTCCTCTACTGACACAGTGGGTTTTCCTCACATTACTGTTGAATACAGTGAGTTCCAAATTTCTCTTCAAAGAATCAGTATACCAGTATGTTCAGTTTCTGTGCTCTTTGTTCTCCATTTTGAAATTAACGTTCTCCTTCTCTTCATCTCTTTGCCCCTAGTTTCAGTAAACAATCTTCTCGCTAGTTTTAATCAATAGCTCACGCCTGTTCCCCTGGCTACATGCACCTATTCCTCTCACCAAAACTGCATGTCCCACTCACACATCACCCTCCTAATCCACAAATTTAGAGTCCTGACTCATCCTGGTTACTTGCTCTGACCTAAGTCACCTTTAGTTACCTGTTCTGGAACCGTCTTTCCCACCAAAACTACTCACCCTGTCACTCTGGCTCATACTCCTGCTCTCTTTAAAAATAGCCAATCGGAGTAGACTGTGTGGCCCAACCCTAGCCAGTAGGGGAAGGACGCAGCAGTAGGGGTGACTGCGTCAGGGATAAGAACACCTTCCCTTGTCTTGTTCAGGTGTGCTCTCGCCATTGCTCCATCCATGAGATGCACCCTTCTATAGAGGTAAAAATTGCCTTGCTGAGAAAATTTATGTTCAAGTGCTATTTCTTTTGTGGCACCAAAAATATGCTTCTAACATTACTGCTTAATAGGGATTGGCAGAAAAGTTGCTTCCACCCCTCAACCCACTTACAGCCTCATGGGACACAGGCTCAGTGTCAGGCTCTCCTGGCACCAAGTGAGCCCCGAGTATCCCAGAGTTGCCCTGTATTGGTGGATGGCTCTGTATTGACCTTGAAAGTTTCAACACCTAAGGCCTAGAGACAGGGCCTGCTCAGAAATGCTGTCTGCAGCCCGCAGCACTGCTAAGGACCCATTGTACTCTTTTAATTAATTATTTATTTATTTTTATTGGTAGACCCGTGTAGTATCCAAATCATGTTGTCTCTACCTCTGTAATGGGCACATGTAAAAAACAACTGGAGGCCAGGCATGGTGGCTCACGCCTGTAATCCCAGCATTTTGGGAGGCTAAGGTGGGCAGACCACCTGAGATCAGGAGTTCAAGACCAGCCTGCCCAATATGGCAAAACCCCATTTCTACTAAAAATACAAAAATAAACTGGGCATGGTGACACATGCCTATAATCCCAGCTACTTGGGAGGCTGAGGCAGCAGAATCACTTGAACCTGGGAGGCAGAAGTTGCAGTGAGCGGATTGCACCACTGCCCTCCAGCCTGGGTGGCAGAGTGAGACTCTGTCTCAAAAGAAAAGAAAATGTTCTAAATATGGATGGTGGATGGTTGTACAACTTTGTAGATGTACTAAAAACTCTCGTGCTCTTTAGACAGGTGAGTTTAATGATATGCATATTATAACTGAAGTTGTTAAAAATATAACAAAACCCTTCAGATTATAAAAGAAAAGAAACATGCACACACAGATGGGTTTACTTTAAACTTTATAGATCTTCGCTTGCATAGGACCTATCCACATTCTTCTGAGGAGTCCTAGTAAGGTCTTGCATTTTTGTAAAAATTGCGAAAGTAGAATTTTACAGCATCATGTTAAGATCATTTTCTCTTTTCACTGCAACTTCTTGTGGTGGTAGCACTGGAGTCGCTATAGGCATTTCTGAGATCAGGCAAGAGGGAAGATAAATTGGGGCTACATTCGGGCCAGTTTTAATGGAATATATTTACATGTTTTGTAGTCAGTTTAATAAATAATAATGATTTGTGACCCTAACGTCTCAGAATGGAGTTACTCAAATTAGGTGGCATTAATACCACAGTAAAATTGCTTTTCTTTCTTTATTTTTTGAGATGGGATCACTCTCTATTGCCATCTAGAGTGCAGTGGTGCAATCACAGCTCAGCTCTGTGTAGCCTCAATCTGATGGGTTCAAGCCATCCTCCTGTCTCAGCCTTCCCAGTAGCTGGGACTAGAGGTGCATGACTCTGCACCTAGCTATTATTTTGATTATTAATTTTTTTTTTTAAGATGGAGTTTCGCTCTTGTTGCCCAGGCTGCAGTGCAATGGTGCAATCTCAGCTCACTGCAACCTCCACTTCCTGAGTTCAAGCGATTTTCCTGTCTCAGCCTCCTGAGTAGCTGGGATTACAGGCACCTGCCACCACGCCCAGCTAATTTTTGTATTTTTAGTAGAGATGGGGTTTCACCATGTTGGCCAGGCTGGTCTCGAACTCCTAACCTCAGGTGATCCACCTGCCTTGGCCTCCCAAAGTGCTGGGATTACAGGCATGAGCCGCTGAGCCTGGCTACTTTGATTTGTTTTGTACAGATGGGGTCTTACTTTGGTGCCTAGGTTGGTCTTAAACTCCTAGTCTCAAGCAATCCTCCTGCCTCAGCCTCCCAAAATGCTGTGAGCCACTGTGTCCTTGTTTCTTTAAGGTGATAAGTATATGTGTGATAGACTATGGTGAGACATTAGCACCTGCTGTGCCCTGGTGGCACTGAGGACCCAGTGGCTGAGATCATGACTGAGCACATCTACGGAGAATCATAAAAGTGTAAGGGACTGATAATATCCAGAAGCTTCTGGAATCTTCTCCCTGGGAATTCTGAAAGCCTCCTCCTGATTTTAGGAGCTGTTATCCAGAATTACTGCTCTGAGAGGAACAGCTTTGCTCTCTATCAGCTCGCACCTGAAATAAACTTCATGTCAGAAGGCTGGTCTCCCAGGCCTCCATTATGATTTGTTATTTTTTAACTACTGCTTTTTATAGAGTATTTCTATTGTGGGCCTGGCATGGTGTCTCATGCCTATAATCCCAGCAGTTAGAGAGGCCGAGGTGGGTGGATTGCCTGAGGTCAGGAGTTCAAGACCAGCCTGGCCAACATGGTGAACCTCCATGTCTACTAAAAATACAAAAATTAGCCGGATCTGGTGGCACATGCTTGTAATCCCAGCTACCTGGGAGGCTGAGGCACAAGAATCCCTTGAACCTGGGAGGCGGAGGTTGCAGTGAGCTGAGATCGCACCATTGCACTTCAGCCTGGGCAACAGAAGTGAAACTCCATCTCAAAACAAAAAACAAAACACAAAACAAAACAAAAAACACACATAATAAGAGTATGGTGAACACGTGCTCGACTGTGTGTATGTGTGTGTGTGAGACTCCCTCAATAAACTGGGAATTTGAGAATTGCTCCTTGCCTAATGGGTCATCATGAAATCTTTCTTAAACCCCAAAGAATCTGGTTAATGTAACAATGAAAATTAACACAACATAGTTCCATAGTTACTGTTCACTACCTTATATGATAGTAGGAATTAATTCCAGTAGTTCTAGCCAGTGCGGTAACTCATGTGGCTTTCTTCCTGCACATACACAAGAGCAGAGCTTGTATCACAACAGGAATGTGTGCTATGGGGTGCAGCACTGGAAGTCAGTGGGGTAGTTGGGACGTGGCATTTGCAATGTGTGGAGCCTGATGCCAGTACTGTATGTAGAAATTGTTCCAAATGGCCGAGCGTGGTGGCTCATGCCTGTAATCCTAGCACTTTGGAAGGCTGAGGTGGGAGAATCACAAGGTCAGGAGATGGAGACCATCCTGGTCAACATGGTGAAACCCTGTCTCTACTAAAAAATAAAAAAAATTGGGCCGGGCGTGGTGGCTCACGCCTGTAATCCCAGCACTTTGGGAGGCTGAGGCAGGCAGATCAGCTGAGGTCAGGAGTTTGAGACCATCCTGGCCAACATGGTGAAACCCCATCTCTAAAAAAAAATAATAATAAAGTAAAAAGAAAAAAAATACAAAAAATTAGCTGGGCGTAGTGGCACACGTCAGTAGTCCCAGCTACTTGGGAGGCTGAGGCAGGAGAATTGCTTGAACCCAGGAGACAGAGATTGTAGTGAGCCAAGATCGTGTCACTGCCCTCCAGCCTGCGCAACAGAGTGAGACTCCATCTCAATCAATCAATCAATCAATCAAATAAAAATAAAATTCTAGCTGAGTGTGGTGGTGC